TGGTGCTGGAGCCACGTCGCAGCCCCAGCCCCGGCACGGCCCCGAGAACGGCCTGGCCCGGGGGTGAGCCGAGCCGGGCGCACGCGCTGCGCGGGGCTGCACAGCTCTGCCCTGGGCGACCGGCCGAGCCGCCCCGGGGGCACCTGGGCAAGGACCGGAGCACGGGCGGCTCCTTGAGCACCTGCTGCTGCTTTATGCACGGGCCGACGCGTGTCGGCTTCACCCGGAGGGCAACCTTGGCCCCGCGTGCAAAGCATCCCGTGTGCATCCACCCCCCAGCATCCCGGGGTGGCCGTAGCCGTCCTGCCGCGCTCGGCTCGTCACCGCGGGGACGGACCGAGGCGACCAGCTCGGGCTTGGGCAAACAGGGAAGAAACTGGGCCAGTGCCCGCAGCCAGCAGGAAGTCACTGGTTCTGCAGCCCCGAGACGTGGCCTTTCCTCCTGCAAGGCAGCACGGGGCTTGGGTGGAGCAGGAGAAGCCTCATTATATCTAATAGAAAATAATTGCACCCCGCATGTGCTCTGGTCACAATAGTAGGGTGCTGTGGAGGCGGGAGCGCGTCTCCCCCCGCCAACACACGTCCCCGCCTGTTGTGCTCTGATGGTTGTCAACACCCACAGCCTGACGTCTTCCCCGGTGACACCCTCAGCCCTGATCTCTCTCCAAAACCACAGATTAAATGGAGCTGCCCCCACCAGGGGCCATGGCTGCTCCCACGGGATGAGGAGCCGGAAACACCGTGCGGCCGGAGCGCCTGCCGGCAGAGCCCTGCACGCTGAGCTGCTTTAGGCCAGATTAAGTGGAAATCATTGGTATTTATTGTAATATTTATCAGAGCTTAGTAAATAATTGATGCTGATCCCTCCTTGATTTCCTTGGGGCTGCAGTGCGTTAGAGCCTAGCGGTGCGTGACGAGCACGGAGCCAGCGGCAGGCGCCCGGCCAGGCGGATTCGGGGGCGCTCAAACAGCACCCGGGACCTGCCACCGTCCCGGCTGCCCCAGCTCCCGGGAACCACATTGGATTCCCTTCTCCTTGCCCAGCCATTCCCTCCTCCTTGCTCGGTGTGTCCCTGCCATTCCCTAGCCAGACTCAGCACATAGAGCAGATCCTGGTGTCTACAAACAACGTGACATTTATTGGCCTTTTGGGTACAGAGCTAATGATGCCACTGACGTATGCGCTTGCGGTGGGGAGGGGACGCCCGGTCCTGGCACCGGGGAGGCTGAGGAGCCCTCACGGGGGACATCGACAACGAGGGGACCTGCTCCAGGACGGGCGGTTGCTCCGTGGTTGCTCTGGGCTCTTTAGCACCTTGCAGCCCTGCTCCGGTGCCGGGCAGCTCCTCCTCTGGCCGCAGCGGGATGTGAGCTCCGGCCGTGGCGCTCGCTTTCCAGCTTGGTGTCTGGGCATCGGCGACATCCCAACGCGCGTCTCACCTGCGCCTGCCCGGACGCCCTGCTGCCCTTTCCCGGGGCTTTAGTTTGTTGGGTTTTGTTGTTTCTCATGGGCGTGCAGCAGATCGGGCTCTAGACAGGTTGGGACGCTCGGAGGCCAAGGGTCTGGTCCGGGCTGGGCGGCGGGAGGTCACATCTCCTCTTCTCTGTGGAAAGAAGAGACAGGCTCAAGCCCTTGCACCGAGGGGCACCGTGCAGCAGTCCCCATCCCTTCCTTGCTGCTCCTGCCTTGGCAGAGGCATCCCCAAACACGGGCTGTTCACTGGGTGGCACCGAACAGGAGACCTCCCATGGATGTGCTCTCCCTCCCCTTTATAGCCCTGGAGGTCTTGGCTGAAGGGTCTGTTGATGGCATCACTCTCGGCCACCTTGGGGGCTGTTATTTCTGGCACCCACCAAGGCATTTTTTCCTCCCTCTCTCCCTTCCATGACCCTGCCAGATCAAAGTTGAGTTGCCTCAGACCTATTCTGGGGCTTGTTTTCCTTCTCCTCCTGCTTGAGGTGGCATCGGCAGGTGGAGGTCTTGCTGTAGCTGGCGGAGCGCTTGGTGGACTTCTTCCACCTCTGTGCAGTCCGCACTACCCGCTTGAAGATGAGGTAGAAGATCTCACAGACAGTGAGGATGATGCAGATAGAGGAGGCCCCGACCATGAAATAGGTGAAGACTCTCTTCTCGGTCGGCCGAGCGATGTAGCAGTCTACAGTGTTGGGGCAGGGGTCCACATTGGTGCACTTGACTAGCCGCGGCAGGTCAAAACTGTCCCACATCTTGTGAAGGAGGTAGAGGAAGAGTATCTCTATGATGAGCTTGAAGAAGAGGCTGAGCAGATAGGTCCACCACAGTCCACCGTGCTTCTTGCCCGTGTTGCTGTAGAGCTTGGGGCAATTCTCCCCGTTCTTCTCCCGGTTCTTCTTCTCGCGGTCTTCCCGGTAGGCCACGTGCATGATGACCAAGAGGGAAGGACAAGTGACAAAGATGAGCTGCAGGGCCCAGAGGCGGATGTGGGAGATGGGGAAGAAGTGGTCGTAGCAGACATTGGTGCAGCCTGGCTGCCGCGTGTTGCAGTCAAAGTCCTTCTGCTCATCCCCCCACACCCGCTCGGCCGCCACCACGTAGACCAGCACGCGGAAGACGAAGACCACGGAGAGCCAGATGCGGCTGAAGGCCGTCGAGTATTTGTTGACCCCACTGAGCAGCGCCTGCAGCGTTTTCCAATCCATGGTGGCTGGTGCTGGTGGCGACCAGAGTCACCCAACCTGGAGGAAGAGCGAGAGAAGCGGCGGGTGAGGACATGCAGTGGGCAGTAACAACGGCCTCCCTCAATATCAGCAGCTCCAGGATTCCTCAGGATCCATAACCTCCCTAACTCCACACTCCCTCGGGGTGCAGGGACCCGTCCTGCACACGTACAATAAACCTGACTGGAGGGTGGCACTGCTGGCTGCTGCGCTGACTCACAGCAACATTTAGGAGTGACTCAAGCCCTTCGCTCTTCCTTCTGATAGAGGCTTTTTAGGAAGTGACGAGGATCCCGGCGACGCTCCCGCCAAGCCCGTGCGGCTCCGGTTGAGCACGTTGGTTACGTTGGCAGCGAGTCCCCGGGAAGAGCCAGGATAAACAGGGGGAGGCCGTGAGCTGGCAGTGGGCCGGGTGGGCTGCATGGGACGGCTAATGCTGCAGCAAAGCAAGGCCTCGAGTGAAAACCAACCCCGTCCTGCAGGGGATGGGGCCGGCCCTGCCCCTGCCGCATGTCTCCGAGTTGCAAAAGCCCTTTTGGGGATAGATGGGGACTTTTCCCACCAGGGAAGCACCAGGGATCTCCAGGATCCCAGCCTGCCGGCTGCTGCCATTGCCAGCCCAGCAAGGCCCCAGCCTCCTGTTTCAGCATGAGTAAAACGGGGTTAAATCGGGTTCAGTGGGCGGCTGTGCCTGAAGGCAAAATGGAGCTGAGGAATGGGTGCCAGCGAGGAACCGAGGAACCGGCTCGCTCCCTGGCAGGGCGATGCCCCTGGGGAAGCCACACGGAACGGCACTGCCAGGAATGACACATCCCAGCGGCAGAGCCTTCCCGCTGCCTGGGAAGCAACAGGTGGAAAGACAATGGCTGGACTGAGAAATATTTTTGCAGTCCATTTGCAATTGCGAGAAGAGTTCAGTTTTGACAGCAACAATCTGCAAAATTCAACTTTTCTCAGTAATTTTTTTAAGCAAACCTTGCAGGACTTTGGAGGTTTTACGTGGGAGAAGTGCTTTTCTCCATTTGCAAGCTGTGCTCCTATTGCTGGGCCACACTGGCCATGTCACCAAGAACAAGCAGTGACCCCACCGGGCGACGGGAGCAAACAGCCGATGCCCCGTGGCCAGCACTGCCCAAACACCCCGAGTCGCTGGAGCGGCCCCCGGGGCGCGACACG